ACACACAACACCAGGATTTCACACAACGGGGGTTGAACGGCGCGTCTCTCACTTGCGTGAGAGGGCCGTGGAAGGTGCAGCTTCAGCCCGTCCCCAGCCCACCAGTCCGCCACTCCACACAACACACACAATGCGACGACCTGCGTGGACCAAGTGGGGGCGTCAATCAGCAACCTTCCTATCCACGAAGCTTGACGTGTCGGGATAGTCTCGGACTCAAATCACCCGTGCTGCCGAAGCCGCATGGGGACCGAGTCGAGATGCGGACTTCCCACTTGCGTGGGAGGTGGCACTTGGTCTGGTGGGGTGATGGTGGTGGTGGAGGAGGTAGGGAGTGAGTGAATGTGTGGTGTGGCCGGCGGTTGTCTACCGCAGGTCGTCGTGGATGCGCATGTGGCCGAATAGACCCATGCGATGCCTGAAAGTGCGAGGACAGTGTGGGCAGTTGAGACGAGCTTCGTGGGTATAGATGGGTGCTCCAGGCACTGGTTCGCCAGTCTCTGTGCGATGGATTCGCAAGTGACCCACCAGGCCGATGCGTGAGGTGAATGTGCGTGGACAGTGTGGGCATGAGAAGTCGGCGGTGTCAGTGTCAGCTACAGAGGGTGCGGTGGTGGTGGTGGTGGTGGTGGTGGCGCAGACGGATGGAACGAGAGCGGGGGTGTGCGCGGTGGATGTGGTGGGTGTGTCGGGAGTGCGGTCAAGGCCGCTCTCGTGGATGCGCATGTGGCCGAAAAGGCCCATGCGATGCCTGAAGGTGCGAGGGCAGTGTGGGCAGTGGAGGCGAGTGCGGTGGGTGTAGGTTGGTGCTTCACGCACTGGTTCGCCAGGCTCTGTGCGATGGATTCGCAAGTGACCGACCAGGCCGATGTGTGAGGTGAAGGTGCGGTCGCAGTGAGGGCAGGTGTAGTCCTGATCCTCATCCCTGGAGTCGGGGGAGGTTGTGGTAGTGTCGGTTGCTGTGCGCGGGACAGTCAGGAGGAGGAGGAGGAGGAGGAGAAGGATGATGATGATGATGATGATGATGATGATGATGATGATGATGATGATGATGATGATGATGATGATGATGATTATGGAAGTGGTGGGTTAGAAGAATTGTCAGGGTTAGTTGGCGGCGGAGAGGAGGAGGAAGAGGCAGGCGTGGAGACGATGGTTGGTGCCGTTCGAGAGGCGTATTTAATCCGAAGATGTCCAACAAGTCCGATTCGAGCCCAGAATGTCCGTTGACATCGAGGACACGTTGGAAGCGGTTGTGCGGCGGCGTTGCTTACTGGGCGAAGTTGTGATTTGCGGGCTTCACGTTTCGCTTTGGCGGCAGCGATGCGGTTGGCTTCGTAGATCGCAGCGCCTGTCTTCACTGTCCTCCTCCAGGTCGGTCGATCGAGTGCGAGCTCCTCCCAGTTGGTGGGGTTGATTTGCAGGCATTTCAGGGAGGACTTCAGGGTATCCTTTTAACGGCGAATCTGGCCTCCGTGACGGCGAGAACCCGTCGCGACGTCTCCGTAGAAGAGTCGTTTGGGTAGTCGCTCGTCGTCCATGCGCACCTGGTGGCCGCACCAGCGCAGCTGAATTTGCCTCAGTATGGTGTGGGATGTCTTAGACAGGAACAGATACCATGTCAGTCACTGCGTTCATTCTCATTCGACTTGACTCAGACAGGCCGCTGGTGCACAGGAGATGGAGTGGGAGTTGCAGCGCTTACGTCTTGAAGAAAGAGACACGATCGCTGGGACAAGACCTTTCTTAGCCTGACGTTTCGGATTCCTGCTCGAACCGATCCTCAGAGACAAAGCAGATACAGGTGGTTCATGCATAAGGGGCTGCAGTGTTTATAGAATGCAATAGCCATGCTACCGCATACCTATGAATATTCGCGGCGTCCTATAAATACTGCAGCCTCTTATGCATGAACCACCCGTATCTGCTTTGTCCCTGATGATGGGTTCGAGCAGGAATCCGAAACGTCAGGCTAAGAAAGCTCTTGTCCCGGTGATCGTATCTCCTTCTTCAAGACTGCTTCCTGGGACTCGTCTCTTCGCCTCTATTGGCAGGGCTTGCTTCCTCATCATCAACACAAAATGTGCCTTTTAACTATCACGACGCGTCAGCAGTGTTGATTAGAATGTTGGTTAACAACGCAATAATTTGCTTCTAATCAATACTTATGATCAGACTTCGGTGGTTCCTTCTTAAAGTGACCTTCACGGTACTCTCGCTGTGGCAGCTCAGAGAGGGCCTTTCGATGATACCCAGTACATGTGGAGTTATGAGGCATGTCCTACCCGGCATGCGTGAATGGGCTGCCCAACTCCGACATTGCACTGCGTTCGTGCATGACTTTGCGTTGTCGTCTGCACACAGTGGGCATGGAATGGGAAAGTGGGGTAGATGGAGTGCTAGGCCGCCGGCAAGTAACGAGTGTGGAGAAGTGGCGGACAAAATAGGTGAAGTGGGCACCGAAGTGAATTTGTCTCAAATTCGAAACTGTCTTAGGCTTAGAATTTGTCTAATCTTCCTGGCCAAATATTGAATAACCTCACAAAACTACGAGAGGATGCATATCTCAAGTATTTGTCCCGTTGAAATCCGGAAAAAAGAATCGAGACGAGGGGTTAGTTTCGGAACCTATACTGTTTGTTTCCTTAAGTTATGCCTATCTTTACTGACGAGTTCGGAAAGCAGTCCGAAAAAGACCGTCTAGTAAATTATTCTCACCTTCTTTCGGTGGGAAATTTATCCTCCTCACTCCTAACATTAAGCAGTTAGTCGGTCATACAGTTTCTAAATAGCTTCGGAGATTTATGCAAACATCTAACCTGAGATATCTCATAGCTTAGGCGTACCACCTAAGTGCTGTTCGCGTCAGTCTTTTGGCAGCCGATGATCTGATCAGCATGCTGAAAATACTGTTTTTTATGCTGGCTACACAAACACGTCTCAGAAGTCCAAACAAATGCTGCACCGACTTTCTACAGCAACGTATGCAACTACCAGGCGTTTGGATCATCAAGAAGCGGGCTCAGATTTAAAAGTAGCAAAATACTATCCGGAAACTTCCAATGTCAGCAGGAAAACAAAACATATACAGCCGCATAGGCTTGCTTTAGGAAAGAACAAAAGATGATTCATTTTGGGGAAGAAGTAAAGCAAACTACCTTGTCGTGGTTCGGAATGCCTGGAAGGCAGCCTTACGACAGCTGTAGGCACCTTGCCTGCTGGTTCCTCCCCAGGTTTTGATTCATGTCCCGCAGTGGTGGACAGCAGGCAACTAACTAAGAGTTCAATTGCTATAGAGAAACACATAGACGGGAAATGTTTGCTGTCCGACGAAGGTAGACTGCCGATCCGGCGAATTTACTGCAGTTAAATTGGGCTGGTTGCTACTGCATCTACTGACGACCGTAGAGCATCTGGCGCGTCTACCCAGAACTGACACTTTTAGAGGGGATTATATCTTGTCTAAATGAATTAGCTGACGATAACACGTTGCTGAGAATGATTGCTTTAATGTAGGTCACCTAAGATTGGGGGTATATATTTTCTCTTTCGATGTCACCCTGAATGCCCCTAAAGTATTTCAATTGCCTAAATTACAGAACTCATGTTTCAGTGGTAAAAAAGAAAAGGGGAACATTTCTGCGGTCTCTGGACGACACATGGCATACTGCAGCACAGAGTGAACACAACTCGGGACTTTGTGTATTAGGAAAGTTAAATAAGCCTTAACTTTCTGCTTGTTTGAATCAAGGACTAGTAAAAGTGCATGGTAATTCGCGTACGTGCATATGTCAGATCACAAGTCTAGGATGTGTTGTTAGCTGGTTCCATGTAATATATGTGAGCAAAGTCCCCAAATAATTCAGATATTCAGAAGGCCTGTACTGTAAACATCAGAAACATGCCTTCACGATCACTATTGATCACTGCAATTACAGATTATCCCGCTGTGTACATACTGCTGACTAATGACGCAAAGGGCGGACTTTATGCAAAAATCCGACGCAATCATA